TAGGTTTTATGGCAGTTCATTTGTAGGTATGGATGTTTGCAACTCAGATGTTCATAATCTGGGGACTGCAAATGTCAAAATTATGAAAAACTCATGAATGAACTGCCATAAAGCCTATTATTTAAAAATTCACATTACAGACAAATGGTTCATAGTACTGTTGACCAAATGATCCATGTTCTGGTGTGCATATGCCCAAAATACACAGCAGGGGAATGTTTTCTTTTAAAGGATTTATTCCTGAAAATAGCTGGCTACCAACAAATCATTCCAGATGGTGCACCTGAGCAGTCCTCAGTTGGGCCTTTTATACATTGCTCATTAGAGGGCTACACATAACACAGATTTTTCCCACTTGCATACCAAAGAAGATCCTCTGAAGAGGGGGACGATGAGGTGCTATTACATAGAAGAGGAGGAAGATTGGCTGGGGTGGGGTGAATTGCCCTTTGCCTGAGCTGCTATTATCTGTCAAGTGCCAACTAGCTTTCTCTGAAATGGTACCTGGCCAGTGTCAGCTACATTTCAAGGAGGCGCACATGCTGATTTCTGGAAAAGAGGGTTTTTCTCAGGCCTGTCAATGATTGCATGATTTAACCAATGAAAGTTCTTCCTACAGTAATACCTCAGTTCGTGAACAGAAAGTTCGGCAAAATTTTGCTTCTGTTTGCGAACATCGCATCTGGTGATGAACATGATCGTGGCCATTTCCCTGCTTGAACACACTCTGATATTGGTTGTGGTGCGGGGAAGATGGCCGCAATTGTGTTCATGCGGGGAAGATGGCCACGATCGTGTTCGCATGAACACGAACATGGCCATCTTTCCCACTCTGACACATGGTCGCAGATTCCTTTAGTCGAGATCACGGTCGCAGACTCTCCCTCCAAACAATAACCTCCTCCCCACCCACCTTCCTGTCCTCCATGCCAGAAGTTGCCTCAAGCAAGGTTAGTGTTCTCTCTCTTCATACTGTACTGTACTGTGTTTCATATTTTTGTGGTTAGAAAAAATTACATATGGTGCAGAACAGAGTAACCTTATATACATTGAACCTTATGGGCAAATTGGACTCGGTTCATAACCAATTCGGTTCGTGACCAGATTTGTGGAACGAATGAAGTTTGTGAACCGAGGTACCACTGTACTGATTTGTACATCAGTACCAACACAGGAACTATTTTTAATACTTATGAAAATGTTCCATAGCATCGGTTGTTTGTCAGCTTGAATGTATCCAAGCCAGTGTGTTTTGAGTCACATGCAGTTAGCACTGCCTTCCATAACTTCCAGTGCAGTACTGTATTGTGCTTAAGATGTTTTATTGTATATGGAAGTGTTTCTTAAGTGTTTTATATGCATAGAAGGTAAAATATATTTGTATATTAAGACAAACATTTGGCTTACTCATGCTAAATACAACATGATCCGACTTGCATCCAAATTTGACTTAAAGACATTCTCTGGAACAAAACTCATTTATAACTCAGGGACTGCCCTGTACCTCCAGTAGCAGCAGGCTGGTAATGCTCAGGTTAGCTATCATGCTGCCTCAAGACAAGGTACTGCATTTATTGGTACTAACAGGTGGGTTCAAAGTCACCATCAGGTCTAGATCAAGACCATGGCACAGAAAGAAAGGAGGGTTAAGGTCCCCCTTGCACCATTTCCCTCCTGGGAAGCTATTTGGCCTGAATACGTGCAAAAATAATGATGTTTATGTGCATTTCTCTTGCCAGAGAAAATAGCAGCTTTGGGGAAGGGCATTTTCAATAGTGAAAATGGCATGGGGGAAGGATGAACACCCCTTCCTCAATTCTGTAATCATAATCTGAATTGTACTCCTCCCCTCCTGGTTGTTTGTTGGGAAAATAAAAGGATATGGTGGTGCAGTCACACATCACCATCAGTGTATCAAGGGCTGAAAACGTGCAGGGGAAGCAAATTTAATAGTGTGGTAAATGTGTGACTGCTAAAACAGCCAGCCCGTGTCTAGTTCTCCTTCCTTCTGTAACCTTGCAGAATTCTTCTCATGTTATGATATCGCAGTGTTCCCAGCCAGGTCCTACAAATGTACTGCGAACCTGTTCCAGGAGATAATAGCAGACTGGATTTGGGCAATTGAGTCTTAATCTTAATGCAGACAAGACAGAAGTGTTCTTGGTTAGCAGAGGTAAGTGAAGAATATAAATTTAACCAGAACTGGTTGGGGCAGCACCCCTTCAAAATGCAAGTTCATACCTTAGAAGGTCTGAGATTCTCAGGCACTGGTTGTGTCCAGAAGTGTCTTTGCCCAGATTTGACTGGTATACCAACTATTCCTGTTCCTGGGAATCACAAGCTTGACCAGACATGTGGATTATTGCACTGTACTCTGCACAGGGTTGTCTTTGAGTAGTGCTCCAAAACTACAGTTGACCCAGAGAGCTGCAGCCTGGAGCCACATCTATGGAAGACATGCAGCTGCTTTCCAGTTATGTTCTGGTCCAAGGCAGGAGCCCTTGGGGTTCAGAGCAGGAAGAGAGGCCAGATGTGGCAGCACCTAAGAGCAGACTGCAACTTTCATGCTTCAGTCCAGAAACCCCTTCTCAGATGATGCCCCTTCCTGCAAAGTGGAAAACCTTAAAAGAATATGCTTCCAGCCTCTGGTCTGCTGATCCTCCATCTCTCCAAGAGTCCACGCTGGGCATGCTGCCTGCATTGATACACTGGCATCATGGAGCATGGCGTTCTTGGAGATGGGCTCTGGAACTCCCACTCAGAGGAGGCCCATTTTACCCCTCTGTTTTATGGCCTGCTGTGGAATGTCCCAAACTCTCCCTTTTCAGAAGACTTTTGGGCCATAAATTGTTGCTCCTTTTAAAAAATGGTTTAATTTCCTGCAGTTAAATTATTTCTATGGCCGTCTGCATTTCCTTTTCTCACTATTCTCTGCTGTTTTAGAGCTTTATGACTACTTCATTGCATTTCTTGCTGTTGTTGAACTGTTTTTAAAATGGCTACATTAATGGGTTAAATCCAACATTAATATTTCTTAGAGCAGAGGCACTGAAATTAATGAACTTAAGTTCACCATAGTAACTAAAGTTCTGTTCATTTCAGTGGGACTTCTTGAAATTGGATTCATGCTGCTGATTTAACCTGTTGATTTAAATTATGTTTCTAGCCTCCCTGGTCTTGTTGAGGAAAGGTACGAGATAAGTGTTTTAAATAAAATGCATAAACACGAGCATAATTTGACTCCACTTTTATGAAGTGGGTGAGAGAAAACTAGATGCGCACTGGCTGTTTGCAAGTAAGTGTTCATTACAAGGTTTCTGTTCCTCTGCTTTATGCACTTGTGTGGAATGTTGCTTTCTGGAGAATCATGAAGATGTTGGAATGAATAGGGCTGGTTTTCAAGGCTAAGCTTTGGGAGGGAGGATGGCATGGGCACCACAATTTCAAGCAGCCCCATCTACTCCAAACAATAGACCCTAACACTGCTGGTAGCCAGCTGTATGGGAGTAACTAGTTGATCCATGGGGACCAGGAAGGAATTGTCTAGCTCTTGTTCACTGATTGATTGAGCAAACTGAGTTATTTTCACCAATTTACCATATGTGGCTATCAACCATATATTTTGTGACTCTTGACCTAATTTCATGTGAGTTGTTGGGGTGAAACAGAGAGATGGGGTGGTATGGAAGGAGATTGAGATTGAGAGAGAACACTATGAAGTCCTGGAAGTTCCACCCACTTTTGGCTCTGGCTCCACCCTCATCCACTAAAGCCACCTTTTCTGTGGGTCCGTGGTTTTACAACCTGGTATAACTGTTCCAATGTCACCTGTACGATCCAGGTAGCAGGAGATGGCATGCAGTCTCCTGTGCAGGTGGGCAGGATACCCACACTAAAACATGGAAGGAAGGCTGGGAATGAAATAGTTAAGCAAGTTGCAGATCAGTTTTGTAATTGTGACCTTGCGTCCTCACATGTCCTCTTGCATTTTCCATGTGAGAGCAACTAATTCATTCCTTCCATCCAGCTCAGCAAGAGTTTGCTTCATCCATTTATGTTTGGCAGGTCTCAGCTAGGCAGATCAGAGACTACTGCAATGAGCCATAATGGTAAATCTGCTTCCAACCCCATGGAGAATACCATCATCAGGAGTTGAAAATACAGTGGTTGCCCTGTCCTTCCTTCTGCCTGTGTTCATCCTGAGGAGCTTGTGGTCAGACTAACGATGTGGACCACCCATATTATTCCCGTCCATAATGTTTTGAAAGGCACTGTGTGGGCTCAGTCAATATTCATGCATCTAATTACTTTCCTTCTAGCATCTGCATGACTAGAAACAGATGCATAAATCTGAATTTTCATCCTAAGCTACTAAAACAGCTTGTGCTTACATGTCTCAACTGAGCTCTGGAAACCTGCCAGTTTTATTGAATTCTTTGGTTTGTCAAGACAGGAGTACTAATGAGAAGAAGCAAAAGTTTCTTCCATGCATACACCTGTTTCTATATGTTTCTTCTTGCTATGATTACTTGCAATGTATGGCTGTGAAATTTAGACCATAAGGAAGGCTGAGCGCCAAAGAATTGAGGCCTTTGAATTGTGGTGCTGGCGGAGATTCCTGCGAGTCCCTTGGACAGCAAGGTGATCAAACCGTTCAGTCCTACAGGAGATCAACCCTGACTGCTCTTTAGAAGGCCAGATACTGAAGATGAAACTCAAATACTTTGGCCACCTAACGAGAAGGAAGGACTCCCTGGAGAAGAGCCTAATGCTGGGAACAATAGATGGCAAAAGAAGGGGATGGCAGAGGATGAGGTGGCTAGAAGGAGTCACTGAAGCGGTTGGTGTGAGCTTGGGTGGACTCCGGGGGATGATGGAGGACAGGAAAGCCTGGAGGAATGTGGTCCATGGGGTCGTGATGGGTCGGGCACGACTTCACGACTAACAACAACTATGATTACATTGCATTTTATGCTGTCTTTCCTCCTTTTGCAAGGAACCCAAAGTGCCTCCTCTCCATTTTATCCTCACAACAACCCTGTGAGGGAGGATAGGGTGAGTGTCCATGACTGACCCAAGCTCACTCAGTGAGCTTCATGGCCAAGTGAGGACTAGAATCCATGTTTCCCAGTTCCAGTCCAGTGCTCTAACCACCATGCCAGGGGCTGCTAGTGTCTTAACCAGACTGAAAGACAGAAAACTCATTCATTCATTCCTTTCTATATTTATAAATCCTACTTTAGAGTCATGTGCCTCTTACAACAGATATTATATAAAAAGTTCTTTAGAACCTCTACAATAACATCACTCTTTTAAAGGCAGCAGAATACAACTTCCAAACCCAGCAAAAGCTTGATGAAACAAGACAGGCTTTGAATTACTTTTTAAAAGAAATATGCACTCAAGGGTTTTTTAAATGTATTTTATGGAAATGTTTAGCCACCTTTCAAGACTGTGGTCTCCTCAAGGCAGCTTGCAGTACAAAAACAGTGAACTTTTTCTGAAGAGCCACAAGTTGTCCACCCTTATGAAAACATAATGAGGAGATGCAGGACCACTGGTTTTCACAGTAGTAGCAGCAAAACCTCCTGTACCCAATTCCCAGTGTAGACATCCCCAGGATGTCTAGATAGTGGTCCATTAATAGACTGAAATGTTCCTTGCCTACACATTTAAATACCCCCACATGAAAACTTTTGTTTTTGCCAGAGGCCCCCTTTTTTGTAGAGATTTCTCTGTTTACTTTCTCTTTGATACTTTGCCTTCATGTCTGTGAAGACACTTGCTAATGAGAGGTTGTGCTTAAATAAGCGATGAAAGAAGCTGAAGCAAAGCCAAGATATTTCTTTTTGCAAGCAAGTGCTAACAAACATCCTTGCTGCCAGTTTGTTTCCAAAGTTCACATATTTTAGGATTAGTAGACCTTAAGAGCAACAAGGTTTATTCGTCTCATTAGTGAAGCCCCTACAAACAGAGCATGATATTATTTACTTGGGTCTCATTTATGTTTTGAAGTGGGATTAATCTTTCTTCTCTTTTTGCCTCTTAAAAAAATCAACTTGCTTATTTTAAGACTTCGGAGGAGCCTGTCGCCCTCCAAAGCTAGCGTGTCAACCAGCTTAAGGAGGCACAGAAACTAGGCAGGCTTTGATACCATTCCTAACGCTCCAGACAGCTTTTGCAATGGCATGCAAGCTGCACACACAATTCACACCATCTGTGAAGTCGAAACAATAGGATTTGCCACCTCTGATTGGGACTGGCAGTTTTTTCCTGGCAATAGTTGAAACTAAAAGCTTAAAAGGAAGACACAAATAATCCATGAGTACATCTCCACCGATATGAGAGGAATGTGCAAATGGAGCATTCTCCCCACAGGCCCTGTGTCAGCCTTCAGCCTCAGCAAACATTGCTGCCCCTGAGCACGCCTCAGCAGCCACCATCCTCCTCCATGACCTCCTGGTCAGTCCCACAAGTAAAAGGCATTGCCATACCAAGCCTGCAGGCCTCATGGCAACAAATCTTTACTTACATCCCAAGGAGCGGAAATCTGAACCAATCAGATGCTGCCTCTGGAGGGGACCTGTCCAATGAGGGCACAGGGCACTCTTTACATCATCCCTCTGTTGCCGTGGTTTGCAGTCTCCCTGGAGACAGCATCTCTTTGGCTCAGATGGCTGCTACCCAGAATGTAAGGGCTAGCTGGTGCCAAGGAGCCTTGCAGTGGGGCTGACTGGGCCGCAAGAGAAGTCACTAGAAGAGCAGCAGCAGCCCCCGCTATGAGGTAGGAGGAAACACCAGAAAATGAATGTATTAGATTTATATCCCGCCATTTTCCTTTCAAGGAACTCAAGGTGGCACACATTCTCCTCCTGCTGCTCTCAATCTTACAACAACCCTGTGAGGTAGGTTGGGCTGAGAGTCTGTAACTGGCCCAAAGTCACCCAATGGGTTCCATGGGTGAGTGGGGACCAGAACCCATACCGCCTGAGTCCTCGTCCTGCGTTCTTAACCACTACACCACACAGGCTTGCTAAAGGGAGATGGGTGAATGAGCAAGTGGGTAGGTGGTAGGCAGGTCGATTGCTTTGGTGGATGGGCAGGAGGCATGGAAAGGCAGGCAGCTTCGTCCTCAGGCAAGTAGGTGAGGCATGCAGGCTAGTTGGCCAAAGGCCCATTAGATTCTGATGCTGGTCCTTCAGCCCCACAGAATGGTTCCTGCATGGTCTCTCCTGCCTTCCACATTCAAGAAGCCTGCTAATCCTCTAACTTGCTAAAAAAAAACCTGATAAAAGCATAGCTCAGCCGTGATTTCAATCCCGGCAGTACAGAGAATGACTTGCTGCAGTAAATGCTGCCATCTTATCTATTCAGCTGTCCTTTCTGTGTTGCTGTGTATTTAAGAGGAAAGAGTGGTCATGAAATAGTAAATCTAGGTCCTGCTAAAAATTAATCTGGAGCAGAATATATTCCAAGGAACTAATTTGAAATCTTGTGTGCACTTAGAGTATGCATACCTCCCCACAAGAAAAAGCATAGATCCAGGCAGTCCTCCAAAGCCGATCAAGCTAACTGTCTAAAAAATAAATCACTGATTTAGAAAATCACATTTGAAACCAGTCTAATGGACCTAATCACCTTCAGGTCTGGTTGTTCTTATCATAAGGGTTTCCAAGTATAGATCCTGAAAATGCTTGTATAATGTTTAGGGAAATATCTACAGCAGGTACAGGCAGCATCTGGTTTCCTCCAGATATTTTGGACTACAACTCCCAATAGCTCTCACCAGTATGGCCAATGTTCAGGTATTAATAGATTTGTATTTTGAAGCATGTGGAGGGGATCAATCTACAGTTAATGATCTCTACCAAAAAGGTATTTTTATATAAAGGTAGTGGGTCTTTATTGCCCATTCATGGATAGCCATCACAAAATACTTTAATAACAGGGACAGTTTACAACTATATACTGTTGATATGAAAATTCTCAGACCGTGAGGATTAGAAGTAAGCTACTATGAGGATTAGAAATAACCTGAGAGGGAGCAGCGAATTCTGAAGGGGCTGGCAGAGGATGTCAGCATCCCTGTTAATCAAACAGTGTTGATGCTACACCTCTTGCAAGCCCTGGCCTGACTGTTCTACTATTGACAGGTGCAGTATCTTCCATCACTATGGTCCTGTGATGGGAGATGGATGAGGATACGTTTCCATATCACCAAACAGCCAAAGCTCTCTTTTGCACACAGCAACTGCAGCTTGACTTGGTAATCCTGTATAAAGGACGCTTTAGAAAGTTTAATTTAAGTACTGAGGCAGCTCTGTGTATATCTAGTCAGACTATATTTCTAGTTCCCCACATACAATGAACATATATCTACAGCCCACAATTAACTATTCTGATACCCTACACTCATTTCTTCACCCACACTTCTGCTGAGTCTTAAAGCCCTGATTATCCCAATTGCATAAACAACACATACCATTCAGTATGTACAGATAAAAATGCAGATAGGCCAGAAATTCATTCAGTTCATGTTTTAATGCAAACTTAATTTTCACTTTTAGATGACCATGTGAATTGAAACTCAGTTATCTGCTGGAATTTGCATTTTTCCAAATTTTGTAATGGAGATATCTAATAAAAAATGCATACAAAACTGTAGAGAATGTAATGCTAAAATTTGCATTGTATTAGAAAACTGCTTTCAAAAGCATTAATTAGGCAAACATGGATAAAATGAATGCATTTACAGAAATGTGCACAAAATACTCATGAATTTTCATGCAATGTTTCTCTTTTTTATTCTCAGGGCTCAGCATGAACAGAACTTAAAGGGAGAGAAAACCTGAATGTTCAAGGTGGACCAGAGTTTAGACTGAAAAAATTAGGAACTGATAGGAACTGAGATTAGTTTGCATGTGTGTGCTTGCAAAATTTCTGTTTTCACTTGTGGATCTGGCCATATGATATAAAAACAAATGGGATGATTGTTCCTTGGGTTAAAGATATAGTAGAAAGAAATATAGTGGCCCTAGGATGCATCATCATTTCTAAGAGTTCAAATGAGCTTTACCATGAAATGCATTATGTACTGTATATTCTTAGTGCATGTATGCACACCAGAGAAAAGATGTATCTACCATATGGCAGACACCCTCAGAGATTTGAATGTACAGCAGAGGTAAGGAACCTGGGGCAGCCCTCAGCTGTGTCATTCTGCCAACACAAATGACATAGCACCACTGAAAAGTAGCTTCTCAACTATGCATGAAAAAGAATCCAACTAAAGTTAAGTTTGCACAAGTGCTGCTGTGGAAACAGTTGTACTTTATTTATTTGTCTGTTTGTTTATTAGATTTCTGTCCCACCCTGTTAGCCAAAATGGCTATGTTCATATAACCCATCGTACAATCTTTTGTGCAACCAGTTGTGCATTCTGCTTGCATACTCCTCTGTGCAATCAGTTACACAACCAGTTGCACAAGTATAACAGGCAACCACTTGCACAACAGAAAGATTTATCAGAGCTGTCCTGGTGCTATTAGAGTTTTCAGGATGACCCTTTTGGATGGCTTCTAGATGCCCTTCAGGTGCCCTCCAGAGGCCTCTGATGCCCTCCAGATATGGACCCCATCATCCCAGATTAATGGCCATGCTGTACATTCCTGAAATGTAGAGACTTTGGAGGAGCAGAAACCTCAAGCAAATAATGGTTAATGCAAGACGGTATCTCTGGCAAAAGAACAACAAGTGTCCATCAATCTTTACCTTTTTTTTTTAAGTTCCTGCTTTTCATAACAAAGCCTCCTCCAGATGGTTTACAAGGTAAACATTTCCAATAACCAAATATAAAATATACAAGACAAAATGAAAATTATATATATCATTGAAGTTGCAATCCAATGCACATTTAGACAGAAAAGAGTCCTGTAATTCCCAGCATGTATAGAACTGTAGGACTTTTTCTGTCTAAACATGCATAATGTTCCAAACAGATCAAAACAGCAACAGAAAACACTTAAAATGACAGAAATAGTAAACTCCAGTTTATAAAATACATTGGAGCATCCATGCATTTCAAAGTAGATTTCATGTGGACAGTTGAAACTTA